CCAGTTCATCACTTTTAATTTAACTTTTATCGCATTAATCAGGGACGATTGTGCATTTCATTCACATAATATATAAAATGACTTTTGACTAGGCATTTTAGCTTCACTCGCTTTTTCCATCATTCTAAATCATTTTGCTGCAAAATGATTTACCAACTAATCCATCTTCAAAATGAATTGCAGCAAAATGATTTACCAACTAATCCATCTTCAAAATACATAAAGACATCAAAGGTCTGAATTAGTATGATAATCAACTCCAGTGTCAACTTCTTATCATGAACATGAACATGCACATGCATACACATTTTCTATTAGCATAAAACTCACCTCTCGAGGGCATAATAACATAAAGAGCAGGAGACAATTGTATAATATCAACATGTAAATTGACAAACTCATCAGAAATAAACGATGACAATGCACATGAATCGAATATAACAATGTCAGATTGATCTTGAATCAGAAACGTACCTGTAATCACTTCTTCAGATTCTTTGACTTCTTGTGAGGTAATTGCAAAAACTTTTTCTTTTATTGGTTCAATTATGCGCTCTGAAGTTTCACCATTTACTTGCACTGAAGGCTTTCCCAAAAATTGAGTTCTGCTGGGCTGACTACCTTCCAAAAAATTTTTTGGGCCGTCTCTGTCCCCAAATTTTCTGTGATCTACCGTCTCTTTGCCTTTCTTGTGGACTGTCATTTAAATATGCTTTGGCTGTCTACATTTATAACATTTTGTTGAACCAATCAAACATTACCCAAAGTTTTTTTTTCAAGATTTTTCACAAGCTGGCTTAATCTTTCGATTGCTTGCCTGTGGTTGTCCACATTTGTAGCATTTTTCTGAACAAATTAAACATTCTCCAAAGCGTCTTTTTCCACATTTTTTTGATTGGGGTTGCTTCTACTTAAATCTTGATTTAATTTAGTTTCTTTGGAAGTATTCTTCCTAGTCAAAATTCTTTTGATTGCTTGCCTGAGGTTGCTACTGCTAACTAGAAAAGTTCAACTAATTTTAGATTCTTCTGGCTCTTTCAACAAGTACTGAGAAATCACCGATTTCAAATGACGTTAAAGTCTACCTCAACTGATCTCTGAGACTGCTTAGAAACATATGACACTTTTCTTCCTAGATGCTGACTTAGCGAGGTGCATATCTAGATAGTGAAGTAAATTCTGTCTCATATTTCATAACTGTCTTGGTTCCCCTAGCTAGATTAAAGAACTTATCTTGCAGTGCAAATCTTGCTGAAAGTGGAGTAAACCAATCTCTGAGGGCTTTAACAAATTCTTTCCACTGAATCTGTGGAAGAGGTGTCAACTAAAATTTTTCTCTATGCTGCGCCTGCCATCACCCTTTTGCCTGCCTTTTGGCATGAAAGCAGCTAGCACCACTTTTCTTTTTTTTGGACAAATCAGGCCATTTGGAATTTTTCTGATCTTTAGGAGCCAATCTTCAAAAATTGTAGGGTCACTGACACTCTTGAATGCAGGTGGCTTGAAAAACTAAAATACCTTCAAGTGTCGATCCACTTCTACCTCAGTTTCGTATCTGGGTCTGTACTGGTGGAGGATTTTTAATAATAGTTATTTTATCAACCACGTGTGATATCAATTATATAATGCTTTATAAGTCAGTTGTTCTGGTGTCTACATTTGTCTTATTCTGATTTTTATTTCTGCCCAGAACAATTGTAGCTCTAACTTCGTACTCTGCACTTGGCCTAAATGACTGGCATTCCATACTTTATGATTTTTCTCTAGACATGATTTTCTGTATTAATATAATTTATTATTCACATGCAATTTATCATATAATAATTTTTTCATGCACACGTGACATTATAACTCGTAAGGGTTACCCACCTCGGATTTATCAACCTATAGTTCTATATAAATTAATTCACATTTAATCTCATTTTTACTTTTTCTAAATCTAGCAAGCTTCTATTATTCTCTTCGTCCAATAACTATGCTTTGATACCACTTTCTGTCACACCCTAATTAACCCCTCTGGTAGGGTCAATCGTGGTGCGACAGAGCTGACAATTTGGTCAACTAACTTTCATCAGCACTCGTTTTAATTTTTATAATCAGGACCCAGTGGGTGATGAATTAGTTAACTGGATCACCGCAACATACGGATACATTATATTTCAAATACACTCAGAAGCATGAAATTATATCATCCAAAACATGAAAACCATACAAAGCTGACAAATCCAAAACTCCCAAAACTATCGTGCAAAAGCTGTACTGCAAAGATACACCTCCTTACTCGACCCGGTGCTCGTTTGCCCCTACTTGGAAGACAACAATTAAGAATAAAAAACAACGAGCTCAGAGAAATAATCAGGGCTATCATAAAAAATTTTACATGAAAAAGAAACAACGTACATGCTCACGTGAAACTATACATGTCTGCACACAAATCATAACATGTTAGCATGATAGAAAATATGAAAAGAGAGCAGGTATAAAAATCAAGTCTGCAGTGTAACATATTGCTCATAAGCATGAAATCATAAGTATAATAAAATATGTGTTCATAAGCATGTTCATAATATATTATCATAGCAATGTCATTTCATAGCATATCATAGTAATGCCATTTATTTAATGTATAAGACTTAACTATTTTCATGTACTTTCATCATGGGTTTTCACCTTGCCACAAAGTTCATGTAAACTATCGATAAATATTAGACTTCTCTCAACATAGCAGTTATCGATAGCCCTCTCTGATACCCACGATTCCCTAACGTTCTGTCACTGCGTAATACCAACTGTTTCTAGAGTTTCATCCCTGTATAAATATCAGAAGTCGGGAATACTACATCCCTATAAAGTGTACTTGCAAGCACTCATGTTATAGTTTATCGATAACATTACTTGTGAAATTTAAATCATCACTCTTGCATCAAGCTCTTATCAATCATTACATGTATCATAGGCATAGGCAAGAAGCATAATAAATGAATATTTGCAGAAAATTTATATCATATGCATGATCATATTTGGCATAGCCTGATCATAACATTACATATATCGTAAGAAAATAAACATACATTCATATCTTCAATTACAGGTATCCATTTAAAATATGCAAAAAGTTCCAAATGCATCTGTGTCAAACTAGAAATCCTATGTAAACCTATAGAAGATTATTTTTGTAAATTACCACAAGATTATTTCACCTGACTTGACAGAGCAGCCTTATGAAAAATGCCCACATGCTCGTCTCGAGCTCGCTGCCTAGTAACCTGGGGCTAGTAGACAACTAAGGATTTCATAAAATTTGGCTCATAACATGCATTGATTTTCAACGCATACCTCAAATGGACTTCTACGCATAACTGATTCGTCCGAAACCGCCTAATTTTCTTTTTATCACCTCCATCCACACCTACGCTGATTTCGTGTTAGAACCCTTACAGAAGTTCGCAAAGGACTTTCAACTCTTCTGACACTTAATGTAATGTCGCCTTAAGCAGCTACTAGAAATGATATTTGCATGACAAATGAGGCAAAAGTTAATACAAAAATTTGAGGAAGGAAATGAATGCTTAGAATGACGAGAGAGAGGGATTCATACCCTTGGATTTCACCTTGAAGCTTCGAATCGCTGCCTGCAGCCCACAGGACTGCCGCTTGGTTCGTGCCTGCTACCGGCTCTTCGCAACCTAGCTACAGTACAGATCGCGGGAGCTCCCCAGGTGCATGAAACCCAGAGTAGGGAGAGGGCAGTGGGACGTGACACTTAAGAAAATCCTAAGAAATTCCTAAGAAATTCCTAGTCGTTCGATCTCATCCAACCGACACATGCTCGAGTAAGTGCGGGAGGAGTCGGTGGCTACAGTGCACATGCGGGTGATTAGGGAAAAATTAGGATAATAATTAAGATAATTATGCTTATAACTTCAAAATTAAATATCTTCAAAACTGTTCATAATTTACATACAGTGTTGTATATTGAATTGACTGATTTTTTGCATAGAATTTTATAAAATTGTTTCGAGCAAATGTTGAGGCGTGTGAAATTTGAGGTACTTTTTAGATTTGTTGAACTTGATTTCTTGGAACTTGGGCGTTACACAAGGATTGATTTCTTATGCTGTAATTATGACGTGTTTGATCATTGAGAATAAGGTCTCGCCTGTCAGCATGCTGCCGGAGTTCATGCCAATATTAAGGATGCTGGATGCAAACTTCTTGAATCATTGAAGGCCTTAACTTGCTCTAGCTTTACTTCGCCTAGCTTATATATTAGCAGCTATTCTTCTTACTTACTATAAAATTGGTTGATGTGTGCAAATTATTTGCTGTGAACGTGGCTTTACTAAATGCATGAACGGAAAAACAAAATTTAATTTCAAGTTTATTTTGGAAATTTTACTAGCTTTTGAATAATGTTTGTCGGGGTACTTAATGAGAAGAGTTCCCAAAGTATGTTTGTTCTTTACTTTTTCTTTCTTCTATATGTATATCCTTGTAGAGATTGTTTTGTTTTTTTTTTGAAATTATGGTTTTTTGTGAGCTAAACTTGATGAGTCAATGAAGAGGGAAATTCAGTGTTGTATTTTTGATTTACGAATTATGGAGGAAGATAGTGATTTATGGCTTGCCTGATTGTTTGACCTCTCTTATTTGTTACTTTCTATCTTAAATTATAATCTTTAAATATTGTTGAATGAAACTTTACAGCTATTCCTTAAATTGGAGGGTTGGTCATTCTTGTATCCTTTAATTTTTATTTACATGAACCTGTGGAACATGTAGCTCTGTCGACACAGATGCAACATTGCTTGCAAAAAGCTCAAGAATCAGAGTTTGTTGTTCTCCAAGCGCAATTTTTCACTTCTCTTGTCACTTATTCAGTTTATTCCGTCATGCTACAGTTTGTTTCATGTTTTATCTACAATATTGAACAATATTTTGCTACCTTTGTCTTTGCCACTCTCAATTTAGGGATTGAATTGTTTTTATCACTGATACAGATTGTTGTGCCGCCTAGTGTCAAATCATTGAATTGGTCATACTTGCAGGGTAAGTCGTTGGCTCCTTTTCCTCAATTTTATTTTGCAACAACGAAAATGCAGGAGGACATTATGCTAACAATAAAACCTCAAATGCTTGGAGTTTCTGGAGTTGGGTCAGCAATTACATTTTGTGGATCTTCAGATGTCCTCAGAGGATATAATATGATGGAAAGGTCCACAATTTTCTTCCTACTAGTGATTTAATCGAATTAATTTCTTATAGTAGTATATTACCTGCTTATATGTATACAAATTTATTTTGGTTGACTTTTTGCAGATTTAGCTACTAATTTGAAGGTGTTACCATGTTTTAAAATTAAAGTTGCTATGGGTAGACTTTTGATTGTCATTATGATTTTTAGCATAACTATTATCACTAGTCTTATAAAACATCTCTAGCATCGTCCTAACCAATTGTAAGAAGCTTCATGAATTACTTTTTGCATCTAATGTTACATGAAAAGATAAAATTATGTTTATAGCATGTCACAGATTATTTAAATACAAATTGATGCGTATGCCATCAAAATCATCCTTATGTAACTATAAGCGTTTAAAATGAACAAACAAAGTCTTGTATTTGAATGTTATACAACCAAATCAGTAAAAAAATTAACAATTTATTGAGAATGCAAGTTGAGTTCTTGCAGTGTTTACACAAAAAATGCCTTATCTAAATATGAGATTGAAAGTTATAAAATTTCTATATGACATTCCTAGGCTATAGATCTTGGATGAAAAACACATGAAAAAACAACTATTATTAAAAAACAATTTATCTGGCTTTGATGCAAAAGAAGATCCAAGAATTTAAGAGATAAAATATGGTGAAGAACCTACCACAAGGAGAGTGAAATTGTGAGAGATGAGTTTGTCGCTTCTTTTTGTTTTTGTTTGGTCTAGTTCTACAGTTGCGGCTGGGTTGACAATCACTAATTTCCTGGTTCCAGTTGAGAACAAATGAAAGCCTTGCAAAGCAAGAACAAAGATGATACAAAATCTGTTGAACTGGATTAATAAATTAGAAAGGAATAATCACATGAGTTATGCATAACTCCTTCAGTTGTGCTTAAAATTCATGGCAAACAAGGACTCTAGATACATGAGAAAAGAGAGATTTAATTCAAGAAAGGAATTGTTTACATTCACTTGAGCATGCGCTATAAAGAAGAAGAAAGATCTTTACTGTTAAATCAATGAAATTTCCTAAAGGTTTTCTATGAATCTATTCTACCATAAATCTGTTGTAGGGTCCCCACAAGATTGGTGGTAGATATCCTTGAACCACGAAGTTTGCTGTACATAGCATATAAATACCATAAATTCACGTCAAACATATTTTATGTTGGACCCTACATATGTTTTGTTCGGTTTGAGCCTAAGAGAAATAGTTTGCCATTTTCCAACGCAGGCTAGAAATTCTTAATCTATGGATTTTGCTGTACATTTTATATAAAATACCATACATTCATGCCAAACATATTTTGTGTTGGACCCTACAAATCTTTTGTTTGGTTCAAACTAGAGAGAAATAGTTTGCCATTTCCCAACACAGGGCATATGAACTTCCAAACCATTTTGGTTAAAGCATAATAAAAATGCAATGGAGACCTAAACAGGTGAATTTGATGTGCATTGAGAATTTTGACTTTTTGAAATTCTACAAATACAATCCCCTTTCAAACAAATGCAGGAAAATGCTAAATAAATTATGAATTAAATCTTAAACACAATATTACTATTTGCATTTGAAGGAAATAAATTACTCAAGGTTTGATGGACTAACATAGATGAGCATGTAAGTATTTGATACAACAAAGATGATTATACTCATGAATGTCAAAACACACACTTATAATTAATTGGTTTAATCCTACATGTGTAGCACCACTCAAGTGAACTAAGTGTTGTTTAATGAATTTTTCAATTATTTTAAAATCGCCATTGTTCATTATATTTGAGCATTTGCTTAACTTTAATATTTAGTATCTAGTATGCATTGTTGAAATTATAATAGGAATCTCTAAATGAACAATTAAGAACATGCAATTTAGGGTGCGTTTGGGGCGGCTTATTCACAACTTTTGTGTTTTCAAAATGCAGGGTGGGCGTTTGTTTCTTGCGTTTGTCCAAACGCGATTTTGTGCTAATACATAGACACGACTTGCGGCCTCATCCCCGTTGGCTAGCTTCTCGATCTATTTTTTACTTACATACCCCCCCGCTCGTCTTCTCGCCCTATCCCCTGCATCTCGTGCCCTATGTTTTGATTGTCTTCCCTGTCCTCGTCGCCCTCTCCCCTACGTCTCTTGCCCTAGGTTTTGATTGGTCTTCTCGTTCTCTCCTCTGCGATCCAACATCGCTGTGCTGCTGTGCTCTGTAAGTATTTGATGTAAGTATTTGACAAATTTATTTTGTTATGATCTGTAACATTGGAGCATTGCGTATGAATGTCTCTTCTGATTTTTGGTGAAGTATTTTTCGTGAGATTGGCATTCATTTTTTAAACAGCCATTAGTTTTGAGTTTGATAAGTTTTGCGATTAACATATCTGTGGCATTTTGGTAGGTTTCTTGATACTCACTATTAACTGGGGTGTATATTCTTTTTTATATTGTTATGAAGGAGTTTTATTGGTTTTGAGATATCTTATGTGTAACCATTATAGTTTTGTTGCAAACAACATAACAACTACGTGTCAGAATGATCATTTCTCTAGAAAAAAGCTATAAATTAGCTGTTTTCCAAATTCACGAAACAAACAGTAAACAACTTATTCAGAACAGGGGCAAAATGATCATTTATCCAGAATCAGCTGTTTTCCAAACGCACAAACAAAACAACCATCAACTTACAGAATAAGCTGCTGATCAACAGATTATCATGATAAACTGCTTATCTTGATAAGCTGGATAAGCTGCAGTTGCCCCAAATAGACCCTTAATTAAACATACGAAGTACAAACCAAGCTATATAGACTTTGACAAATAATTTTAACCTATTTCGACTCCCAACTCATTTATATCTACATCTAATTACCGTATGATCTAGCGTTCCACTACTGGATATGTAATTCCAAGCCCACTTCTATTACTCAATGTTTCGGTGGGGAATTCTTGCTATCCTATATACTTTATTTACAAGAAAGTGCATCCCAAACTACTATCCTTATATGTTAGGCTATCAAAACATTTATGTTGGAATTTTAGGGTTATTCTTTCTTACCTTTTATATTTGGAATATAAAGTTATTCATATGTTATAATTTTAGTTTATTCTTTTATTATGGGGAATTATGACTGATTTTATGTCTTTCCTAATGTGGCTGCCATCCCCCTCTATTTGTGTAATCGTTTCATATTAAATTGAAGGGACTAATATTTTTCCTTATCCAAAATTCACATGGTATTAGAGCCATAACTAGTGACAAGGTCAAAACTGCTTTTGACGTCTTGCTTGGTTTTCAAGTCATAGTGCTCGAGTTCGAAGCTAGCTGTTCCTGCACCGTCTGCAAGGTTGTTTGGGTGTTCCGCCGATATCAGTAAAAATAGGATAAACCGCTTGCATGGAACTCTTCGAGTACCCTAACCCCGCAGTGCTTCTTCCTCCTTTCGTCTCCTTCGAAGATACTGCCTTCGCCCGTGTTTTTCCATCTTGACAGCATGTTCAAAATAAGGTTTTGATAGGAATCTTCAGTTTTCTTGTCCTTCAAAGTTGTTGGTCCCTATTTTGTAGTCGACAACAGGATTGAAACTGCGCAGGGAAGCAAGCAGGTCGCGACGTACGTGAGTTTTGCCATTCTTGATCGAAAATTGCGATCGAGATTGCGACATAAAAGAGTTCTTTGTTGCTTATGAAGGAAAGTGTTTGGTTTGCTGTGTACATGAGTTCTGCACCATTCTTGATTGGAATTAGAGATCAGGATCACAGTGTATAAGAGTTCCGCGCAGCTTGTGCAATCGAAATCACAAATTTTTAGGATGTCTTATAAATCACCAATGATGATGTGAGTTTCAAAAATTTCTACCACATCAACCGGTTCCAATCATTCTGAACTTCATCTACTTGCCTTAACACCATTATCAGCTGAATATTATCACCAAAACTTATCCTTGTATCTCACTATGATAATGCTGAGTGAGCACAACTCGCTCGAGTGGGCTCAATCCATAAATTTGACGATCAACTAGAGAAGTAAAATTTAGAATTTAACAAGTGAAATTTTAAAACCTACTGTTGTTGATATGAATTTGAAACAATAGCAAACCAGAAATTCCTAGTTATGGTATGACTCGTCAGGTTTAGGGAACCTACCATAGGAAAACCACATCAATTCTTTTCCACTACTCGAAATATTTGGGAGAGTGTTCGAGATCTTTATTTAGACTCGGAGAACTCTTCACAAATTTTTGAGTTTAAAGCTCAACTTTGGAGATCCAAACAAAATAATTGTGATGTTACTATACATTGCAATGAGTCGGTAACATTATGATAAAAGCTTGATCAATGTTATGATGATATTTGGAAGGATGCAAATGACTATGCTTGCCACTAGAAACGAGTGAAGAACAACCCAATCTGTATGTTCTTAGATGGTATGAATCAGATTTTAGGTGAAGTATGAGGTCGAATTTTTGGTAGGAAACCTATAAACCTCAATTCGAGAAATCTTTTTTGAAGTTAGACATAAAAAATTCAAAAAAAAAATGCTATATAACTCTGAATCATCTGATAATATTGAATATGAAAACTCAGCTCTTGTATCGAAAGGGATTGATATTGACAAAAAATGGAGAAAAAATCATGGTGTGAGAATTGCAAAAAAAGGAATGCACATAAAGGAGACTTGCCAGAAGTTTCATGGAAAACCTGCAAATTGAAAATCAAAATCCAAACGTGAAGGTCGAGTTTATCAAATCTTTGAAGAAACTCAGGAGCGTCTCTTAACTCGAATGCAATCCCTTTCACCAAGGAGCAATTATAGCACTTGCAAAAATTGTTTCAATCACCAGAACTATGCTTGACTCCATCGTGCTCTTTAGTATAAAAGTGCAATTCTCTGACCATTGCTTTAGTAGTTGTTATTCCTAATTTTTCTTAATTCATGGATAATTGAGTTTGGCGTAACTGATCATATGAGGAGTTATTCTAAATTATTTTCTTCTTATAGGCCTTGTGCTTTCAGATTGGGCCGTTAGCCATATAAATGAACAAAGAGAAGAGGAAAGGAGACAAGTAGGAAGGAAGAAAGAAATAGGAAAGCTTTTGAGAATTCATGCAGAGATACCCATTTGATTTAAGAAATTTATGATTGGGTTTAAATCACAAAATTAGCCAAGATTTCAAGAAATGATAAGTTGTTTACGAATTTCAGATTATTTACACTTTGTGGGGAGCTCGTGGAGAGTTTGGGGAAACTCATCGTAGGGTTGCTTCATCTATTCAAGTGAAATAATCTTGTGCTAACTGAAGAAAAATATAAACCATGTAGGTTTTTATATGATTGCGTTCGACAATATTGCATTTAAAATATTTGCATATTGAGGATGACTACCTGCATATGTTGTATGAATGCAAACTTGATTTTTTGTTTACGATACCAATGATTTTACTTCGTTATGCTTATGAAATCATTGTTTGCAGATATTCATTTATTATGATTCATATAAACTATGTAGGTTTCCAGATGAATGTGTTCGACAATATTGCATATGGAATTTTTGCATATTGAGGATGACTACCTGCATAGATTGAATGCAAACTTGATTTGTTGTTTATGATATCAATGATTTTACTATGTTATGAATCTGATGAATATGCTTATGAAATCATTGTTTGGAGGTATTCATTTATAATGATTCATGTATATGATATGTGAAATGCTTATGATAAGTAATTGTTACAGGAATTATAATTTAAATAATGTCATAAATTATGTTATAGGTATACTATTATATGAATACTTGCAAGTATGAATGATGGAGAATGAAGAGATTTCTGACTCATGGTATTCAAATGGGGACGAAACTCAGAAAACTGTAATGTCATAAATTATGTTATAGGTATACTACTATATGAATACTTGTAAGTATGAATGATAGAGAATGAAGAGATTTCTGACTCATGGTATTCAGATGGGGACGAAACTCTGAAAACTGTTGGGATCATATTATGATGGAATGTAGGGAACCATTGATACCATAAAGATTATTAATAACTGTTATGTTGGGGTGACACAAACTTTATGAATAGTTATTTTAGCCTTTGGGCGGGGTGACGACTCAACGACATAACATGATATGATAATAGTTGATACCTTTATAATTACAAGTGACATTCTTATGATTCGATTGACGACTCATGAATATGCTTATGATTACACAAATTAATGAAATATATACTTTATATAACAGTCATGATCCCGTGCATTACATATCTTTCTTACATGTTTTATAAATTATAACATATTACATGCATTGTGGACATGTACATGAGTTATATAAGCATGCACATATTTCTTTTTTAGCCCTAATTATTTTACTGAGCTCGTTGTTGCTCACTCTATATTGTTGATCGTTAGGAAGGGGTAAGAAGCATCAGAGTGAGTAGCCAGGTGTGATTTGTACAGTTCTTTCTTTTAATAATTTTAGGTGTTTGCATGGGCTTTTGGATCACACTTTTATTGTGTTGGATTTAACAACTTTGTATATATATGATTTCCACACTTTCGAGTATGTATGAATGTGAATGAATTATGAAATTATATGTATCAAGTACGTTTGTGGCGATTTAATTATACTAGTTCATGATTTACTAGGTTTTGATTTTGCAAGTTAGGATGGGTGCTCGTGAGAATTTAGTTAGACTGAATCTTCCGCATCTGTTACATCAAATTTAACTCTTAAAAGGGGGTCAGTTTGAGTGTGATAGAAAGTGGTATCAGAGCGAGATTATTGGATGAAAAAAATGATGAAAGTGTTTTGGATTTAGAAGTAAGAATGAGATCAAATATGATTTGATTGATACAGAGCTATAGGTTGATGAATTTGGTGAGGGTAACCCATACGACTTAAGATATCATTTATACACGCATAATTATTATATGGTAAATTGCTTTGAGTAATAAGTTGTGTCAACACAAATGAATATGCCTGAAAGAGAGTCATACAGTACTAAGGGCTAGTCTCCTAGGCCAACTGCAGAGTAAGAAGTATGAGTTGAAAATATCTTGAACAAAAATGATAATCAAAATAGGAAAATTGAAGAAATTAGAGCAACTAAGTTACATGACATTGTTTAGTTGATATTGCAAGTTGTTAACAAAACAATAACAACAACAAGAAGCCTTTATCCCACCAAGTGGGTCAACTAAATGAGTCCGTTTTCTCCATTGTGTTCCATTGAGTGTTATATTTTTATATAATTCTAATAGTTTAAGATCATTTTTTCTACAACATGGCTAAGTCTTTTTAGGTCAATCTCTGCCTTTCTTAACATAACTTGAATCTAAAACATCTACTCTCATAACCGGACGACGTTTAATATGACCAAACCATTCATCTAAGATGACTCTTTCCAATCTTGTTTGTAACTGGAGCTACACTAACCCTTTCACAGATAGATTTGTTTCACATTTTGTCTATAAGCGTCAAACCACTCATCCACCTAAACATTCTCATCACAGTAATAGTTAACTTTGTTTTATACTTCTATTTAAGTTTCAATGACTAACTTCTTTGCCCGCATCCGTCCATGATGTGAGAACCTTTGCTTATTTCACTGTACATCTAAGCGTCAGTGTAGCAGCCCTTACACACTTTTCACTGTATCCAGGCCATACAACGTGCCACTTATAGGGCATGTCCGAGCATTTACGCAATGATTTAATGGATTTGTGTCATGATTTTTCGATAAAAATTTTACGCTGTTTGATAAAATAACTGATATTTAAATATCTTATGCGAGTATAGGACTTAGATCTGAACTTGGGACAAAAGTTGCTTGACACTTAAAGATCATTCAGACATTTAAGCCACTGTATCATGACACTCTCAACTTCAAAATAACCATTAAACTTATTATTAGAGGTTTGGGAAACTTCTATAACTTTTTGGGACTCTAGAATTATTTGCGAGTTCTTTTAGTTCCCCGTTCTATAGGTAGTTTTTCTATGGTTGATTTCCAAATTATCTGCAATCTCTTCTTGTCATGATTAATTCGTTGGTTGGGGGCGTATGTATTAAATTGTTCAATGTTTTAATTAGGAAAGCTCCTTTAAATTATCAGCAGAATGTTGGCCAATGGGGTGTTAGGTTTCTTAGTTTTTTATGTTTTGTCTGGAAGAGCTTAACAAAAGTGATGAATCATGCCTCTGATTTCCATTGTCTCTTGTTTGATTATTGGTTTTTGAAATAGGAATGATAAATCACTTATTATCTAGCTTTTTAAAATTTCGAAAGCAAGGATAGATTGGATTTGCTAAAGAATATATTTTGGCTTTAACTTTGTATTATAACCCTATTTTTTACCTGAAAAGGGTGGCTGTAGAAAATAAAAGGGTACGCTCTGCTACATTTACAATGCATATTTTAAAATGCTCTTGTTGTACAATTGAAAGGGCATCATTAGCAATTTGTTTTTAACACAAAATTACTTGCAGTACTTGACTATGTGGTAATTGCAATTAAACTTGCCGTGTTTAGATGTCACGTTACTTCGAAGCATGTTTTTTGCTTACAATTTTGTGGCAAGTAACACTTCCAATTTCAGCAATTTTGCATGTTTGCTTCAATGAAGTAGTTTGTATTTTTTTTTCTCAACTGCACCATATCATTCCCCCGAAATAAAGCAACATTCTGACTTTATGGTCTTCAGTTTTTTATTTATGTTCTTTGAACAAATAGAATAAATGAAAACTGTCTTACAAAATCATCACAAGGAACTAGGTAAAGAAATATGCGGCAACTTGAAATTAATTTTTTTTTGGCAGATACCTTTCCCTTGATTCACCTCTCTTGAGTGCATATGGGTTTATTGGTAGTGATTGGAACAGGGACTCAAAGAAAATGTGTAATCACTCTAGTTCTTTTTATATTTTTATTCCTCAGGTGAGCCGCTTTTCTCAGAAACATATATTTCTTTAATTATCGGCTTTTTGATTTATTTGTTTGGTCTGCCTAAATTCTAGAATAGGTTTGTGAGCAATTATTGAGTTACTCTTTGGTTATATAACATGAAAACCAATTTTAAATTAGTAATAAACTATGAAAATGTTTCCAGATAATATGGCCACTACCATCATTTTTGTTAGATCTCAATCAGATCGTCAATATCTTGATACTGCAATATGTAGAAATAAATCTTAATGGTTCCATTTGATAACACATGCTTATGAAAGAGCAAATATTAATTAAAAAAGGATCTGATCTTTGTTTAGGGATATACATGACTTGTTTTCTTTTGCTGATGAACAAACCTTATTGAATTGTCTAGTGCTTTAGTGTTTTCTTTGCGCTATAATGTCACATCCCGACCTGGTTCTTAGAATTAACTAAGGCGGGAACATCGGTCGGACTGTAGTAACATCTAACTATCCACATTTAAAAACCTCCAATACATATAAAAGTGTCACTAATCCATAAGTGCAATAAAACCTAAAATATTCTGAAACAATAATATCCAAAAATAACATCTCAATCTAGTACTGAATAGTAAATCAAAATCCGACAAAAAAATTAAAGAAAACTATCATCAAGAAGAAAATACCTAGCAGTAGTGGTTCTTCTATGGTAAATAATGTCTCTCAAATCCAACATATCAACCTAAAACTTTCCTTCTTCTAAAAGAAAATATTTAGCTGCAACTCCAAGTAAAATTTAATGAGTAATTATAATCTAATATGCAATAAATTTTTATGCTATGCTATACATGAATGACCAAAAATAATTGTAATGAATTTCATTGAAACTTTAAATTTATCCCTTCCCGTTTCACTTTAAGTATTTATCATTTTTAACCTCTTTAATAGTCATCACAAGATTACCATCATACCCGAAACTATTTTCAATACTGTGCCCAAAGACAATCTCAAACTGTGTTCGAAGGCACATTAAAATTTGCTTCCGAAGCTACACTCAAATTTGAACTCGTAGGCGTACCTTTACCATTTCTTTTAACGTGCACGAGTACATTGCATCCCCTGCCAATATCATATAGGGTTAATCTTGTATGACTTAAACATTTAACTTTCATTTCATTTAAATTACATTCTTTTAAAGACATTAAACATTTTTCTCCTTTCTCCTTTAATTTGTTATCATTCTTAAGCTACAACATGTATACAAACATAATATAATTGGCTAAAGCATTAAAGAAATCGTTCAACAACAACAACAACAACAAGAACAAAGCCTTAATCCCACTACATGGGGTCGGCTACATGAATCCTTTTTTCTCCATTGCGTCCTATTGAGTGTCATATTTTCACTTAGTTCTAAAAAATTAAGTTTTTTTTTTATACAATAAGTCAAAGTCTTCCTAGGTCTACCTCTGCCTTTCTTAACATAAGTCGAATCTAAAACATCTACTCTCCTAATCTGATCATCAGATGATCCACGCTTAATGTGACCAAGCCATCTAAGACAAATTTCTCTAATTTTTTCCGTCACAGGAGCTAAACCAACCCTATCACGAATATAATCATTTCACATTTTGTCTCTAAGTGTGAAGCCACTCATCCACCTAATCATTCTCATCTCAGCAACACTTAGCTTAGTATTATGCTTCTCTTTTAAAGGCCAACAATCAGCGCCATATAACATTGCAGGTCTCACCACCGTCTTATAAATGTTTCCTTTCAGTCTAAGCGGTACTTTTCTATCACAAAAGCCCGAAACATTCCTCCACTTCAACCAACCAACTTGGATTCTACTATTAATCCCATCTATATCACCATCATTGCTTTGAACAATAGACCCAAAGTATCTAAATCATTCACACCTTTTAATAATTTGATCACCCAAAGT